GTGCATGGAGCCTGCTTCTCCCTCTGCCTATGTCTCTGCCTCTCTCTGTGTGTGTGTGTGTGTGTGTGTGTGTGTGTGTGTGTGACTATCGTAAATAAATTAAAAAAAAAAAGCCACATGTGGCTGGAGGCTACGGACGTGGGCGGCACAGTCTAACCTGTCACCTGAGCTGAAATGTCAGAAACACAGAAATACTCTCAATAATGGAGCGCTGCAGGAAAAACCAGGATCTAATTACTGCTTTAACCAGCAGAAAGGCCCGGCCCTGTGAGCCCCAGCTATCCATCAGTGGGGACAGGAAGGGGACAAATAAGCGGACCAGGTAACAAAGTGGGTAACAAAGTGCGTGTGGGAGGAGAGGCAGGAGAAGTCCTCAGAGCTGAGGAGGAAGGTGCGGTGGGGAATGAGGATGGGACCCTAGAGCTGGGGGCGGGGGAGGGGGGGTGTGGGGCTCTGGGAGTCTCCTATTCCACAGGAGTCAAGGCGCCCCTCCTCCTCTCTCTCTCCAGAGCCCTGGGGGCCGCTCTACCAGGCCCACGCAGCGGTAAGGAGAGAGGTCCCCCACGCCAACCCAGGAACCTGGACGTGCCACCCTCTTCCCCATCCCCATCCCCAGCGTCCTGCTTACATGCAGGCGGCAGGAGAGGAGCAAAGGGAAGGAGCAGGGAGATAGGGAAAGGAAAGAGGAAGGGCACAGCTGCTGGGGAGCAAGGCCTCACCCTTCAAACCCCTGCCGCTTCTCCAGGACGCAGGCCACCAACCGCGGTGCTGAAGAGCACTAGTCACCCTGCGTGGTGTAGCTGAAGGGCAGGGGCCAGCACGCTGATCCCGGAATGAACGTGAGCTCTCAGTGGAGACAGGCCCCCCCCAACGTGTCCTAGCCTGCCTCCTGGTCCACACACTGAGGCCGTGAATGGCCTCCTCCCCAGGCTGTGGGAAAATGATAGGAGATGCCATACGCGAACACCTGGGACACACCTGGGCGCCCATCGCCACTATCTCTCCTCCCACTCTCTGGGGCTCGATCACCTCCACCATCTACAGGTAAAAACTGCACACTCAGATGCCGGTTCCACCTCTTCCCCTCCTCGCCCCTCACTGGACTGTATCCATCTACAAAAAAGAGACAATCACAAGAACACAGGCTCACTCTGAGGCTCAAAAGAGGTAGACACTGGGACTGTAGCTGTAATTGGTAATCCTGCCCAGCCCCAGGCCACCTCCTCCATGCAGTCCTCCAGTGATGCTCCTTCTTGAGCCTCTGACTTGACCCTGAGAATAACCACCCCACCCTGACACGTCAGTTAGCTTTCAGCATCAGGAGCCCGGCTTCCTAATGTCACTGTCAGCTCCTTGAAGAGAGTGTCACCACATTCACAACACTCCCCAACCTGCCTCTCCTAGGCTTGGTGACATGTGCATATAAACAAAATGATGTCATCCACGTAGCCTGGGACCTGCGGGTCTCCCCCGCCAGCCTCCCCATCCCAAGCTGTCTTAAAAGTTCAGACTTAGATGCATCCATCAGGTCCAATCCCCTCATTCTTCATGGGCAAACTGAGGTCACACGGCGACAGGGCCAGAACTGGGAGCCCAGTGCTCTCACCCCCCAGCGGTGATTCACTTCTTCCCTCCAAGTCAGTGACAGGAGAATGTGGATGCCCTTCAGGGCTGGTTGGAACCAAAATGAAAACAACACCAGGAAGCAGGCGCTCTGGCTCAGCCAAGGAGCATATCCCAAAGCTGATGCTCCATGACTTCAGGGAACTGGGAACCTGCTGACAAAACCAACAGCAGTGCTCACTGCCACCCAGCACGGACAGCTGCTAGATGTTTCCGCAGATGACCAGATTTAACACAACCATCTTGGGATCAAAGAGCAATAAGGTGAATGATGACAGACAAGGACAGAGGTAGAACAGGCCTCCTCAGAAGGCACAGTGCCTCCCAGTATCTGGACCACGGTTTGAACTGGTGCCATCCCAGAGAACTGGCCACGATGGAAGCTTCTAACATCCCTGTAGTCTAATATGACAGCCACAAGCTACATGCGGTGACCGGGCACCTGAGACATGACAAGTGCTGCTGAGGAACTGTATTTCTACTTTTACTTCATCTCGATTCATTGAATTTAAAAGCCACACATGGCTGGAGGCTACTGACCTAACCTGTCACCTGAGCTGAAATGTCAGGAACACAGAAACGCTCCTGGAGTGTGGTGGGTGTTGAGGGAAAACACAGGATCTAACTACCACCGGAAATCCCCCAGAGCTGTGAACCCCTGTTCCCATCAGCCAGGGGGCAGGAGGAGACACGGGGCTCTACAAGCCCTTCCAGCTCTGGCCGTTTGCAAGGCCATTCCGACCTCCCAGACTTGGGCACTGGGAACCCAAGGGGCCCGTGGGCTCCCTCAGGGGCCTCTGCTAGCCCTGGCTACTTGTCCTGGTTCTGGCACCAACCACCCCACTGTCCCCCAGCAGACGGTGAGCTCACTGAGGGCAGGCAGGCAGCAGACGGGACTTCTCCCTGCAACCCCAGCACCTAGAAAAGCGTCTGGACACAATGGGTGCCAGGGAGCAGGGGCCAGCATGAATGACAGGACCCTTCCTTATGCTTACCATGCACCTGGCACGGGGAGGGGCGCTCATGCATCATCCCACTTCCTCCAAAGATGGTACGGTGGCCTCCCCTGCCCCCGTGAAAACCACGGCCCCAAGGGGTGGCAGGGTACTTGGCATACAGGACTCCATAAGCGGCTGCTCACCTACTCCCAAAGCATTCGGGTCCATCCCAAGCTGCTACCGGCCTGTGTTCAAGAAAATGGGCCCCAAGACCCAAGGGCTCAGCGACTGCGCAATTTAAGGTGCAAATTTCACGGCAGAGGATGCCAAGGCTCGGCCTAGCCCAAGGCAACGGCTTGCTGGAACCAGCTCTTCCTACTACCGGAGGCCACTGGCAATGACTTCCAGGGCCCTTTTCTCTGGTCAAGAGAAAAATCTTCATGGCCAACTTCGGGGACTAGTTTTTCCACACACACACACACACACACACACACACACACACACACCCCGATCATTCCATGTAACAAACTTCACGAACAGCGAACAGCGGGGCGGGGAGAATGAAAGCCTTTGGAGGCACTGGTAAGAGCCTGGAAAGGCCATGAAGGGCTTCAAATTTTTTCTAAGTTTTAAAGAGGTGGCTCTCTAGGGCTCTGCGTGTAGGGATCTCACACAAAGCACCAGGGGCTCGAGACCACCACTGGGTTTTCTGTCACCAAGGGAAAGGGCCCTGTTTTGTCTTCTTATTAAAAAGTCTAGCATGTGCTTTTGTCTGTCCTTGAAAGATTCTAGTGACAAACATGATTTGAGTTTGGGTCCCCCAGAAAACTTCTTTAACAACCGCATTCCCCATCAAAACAGCCAGAAATGTCCCTGCAGAGCCAGGGTCCCTCTAGAGCATCCCCCACAAGCCCCAAGTACACAGCGTTCCAAGTGAGCCTCCTGGCCTGTGCCTCCTCCCCCTCCAGCTTCTTAACTTCATAAAATGGAGGAAAGGAACGCCAAAACCTCCATCCCTCATCTGCAATTCAAGGGTCCTAAAGCTGTGGCCAAACCAAGTTTTTCACAATTCATCTGGAGGCAAACCCCGTCCTAAACTGACATGAGATGACTTTTAGTCTTTATTGCTCCCACGTTTAAGGTGGGGGTCCAAGTACAGGCCCACCCCCAGGTGGGGGTGGTGGTCTTTCAGCTGTATGTTATATGGGGCTCTGAAGTGGGAAAAACGCTGAGCCCCATACCCGTGGGGCTGTGGAGCTGCAGCAGAAGGAAAGCCCCTGGCCATGGCACGCGTCCTGGGTGCACCTTCTCCCCTTCCCCCTTCCCAAGGACAGCCTGGCAGCATTTCCAGACTTCTTCAAGCTCCCCCCCTCCCCGCCCCAACACGATTCCCCACCCTCCCCAGCACTGCTGGCCCCTTCCCCAGCCTTCCTCAGAGAATCTCTAGGCCTCCCCCTCAGGGGTCTGGGACCCTGCAACAGCTCTTCCAGCTGAGAGCCACGCATACAGCTCGCCCAGCAAGCGGCAGGGCTGCTGATCCCACATGACCTCCAGGCTGGCCACCTTCTGGCCCAGGCTATGGACACGCTGCACGGCCTGGATTCAGGTGTCTCCCTCCTTCTCCAACACAGTGGCAACAAGGGAAACCCTCAGCTGTGACGGAGAACGGGGAAGCTGCCTCTTTTCCCTGCAAACCTCAGAAGAGACACTACATGAGGATCTCTGACATCAAGTCCCGGGCAGACCGGCCTGGCTCTAAAGCGCAGCTCTGCCGGTTCCCAGCTCCAGCTGTGTGACCTTGGGCAAGCCGCCGGCCGTCTCTGAGCCGCACCGCCTGGACTGGAGAGGGAAGAGGACCGTCCCTTCCCTTCCCTTCCCTTCCCTTCCCTTCCCTTCCCTGGGCGGCTGTCACGAATCTGAGGTCAGGTAACGCCGGGAAACAGGAACGCCCTGGGTCCCGCCTGACGACACCGGAGTGCGGAGCCGGCGCCGGAACAAGGGAACACCGGGCATGCACCCGGAGCACGGCGGGCCCATCCCCCACCCGAGCCCACGCACAGGACGAGGGCCCCGACGCGCACCTCAGCCCCTTCCCAAACGATCACCGCACTTCGCGCCCACCCGGGGCTGAAGCGGGCCCGGAACAGAGAGGCTGCGCGGCTGTCCAAGGTCACACAGCCCGCCCGGGGGGGGGGGGGGGGGGCAGGGGATGCAGCGGAGCGGTGGCCGCCCGGGCCTGTCCCCCTGGCCGCTCCAGGCACACAGGCTGCATCCCCGGGGGGCCCACCTCGCAAGGTCTCCGGCCTCGGTTTCCCCAAATGCCGGCCGACCCCCCCCCCCGCCGTGGAGCTCCGGCCCCCGCCCTCCCCGCGCCCGGCCGGGCAGCCCCCGCGCCGGCGCGCCGCAGAGCAGGGCGGGTGGGGTCGGCGCGGGGCTCACCGGACTTGGGGTAGGTGACGATCCACACGTCGCTGGGCCGCACCGGGAAGTTGGCGATCTCCTCCATCTTCCCGCGGCAGAAGGGCGGCAGCCGCACGCCGTGGAACTCGAAGTACTTGCTCTCGAACTCGCCCGGGGTGCTGGGGGTCTCGGCCTCGCTCTCCGCCATGCCGCCGCCGCTCCCGGCCCGCCCCGCGCCCGCGCCCGCGCCCCGCCCGCGCCCGCGCCCGCGCCCGCGCCCGCACCCGCCGCCAGCCGCCGAGCGGCGCTCCGCAGGCGTGACGTCACGGCGCCGCCCGCACCTCCGCCCCGCCCCAGCCGCCGCGCGGCGCTCCGCAGGCGTGACGTCACGGCGCCGCCCGCACCTCCGCCCCGCCCCAGCCGCCGCGCGGCGCTCCGCAGGCGTGACGTCACGGCGCCGCCCGCACCTCCGCCCCGCCCCAGCCGCCGCGCGGCGCTCCGCAGGCGTGACGTCACGGCGCCGCCCGCACCTCCGCCCCGCCCCGGCGGCTCTCCGCGGTATGACGTCATGGCCCCGCCCGCCGCGCGCCGGCTGCCCTCCGCAGACGTGACGTGGGGGGCCGCCCAGGCCTCGCCGCACCTGCGTGCCCTTACCCACCTCCGATGGCCCAGGCCCCGCCGCCTCGACCTCCCCGCCGGTACCCCACATCCCCTCCACCGCGCGTTCGTCCGTCACCCCGCTGACCCCGTCACTCAGCAAGCGCTCGACACAGGCCTGCAAACACTCCCCCCGCCAGTGACCTTAAAGATTCACCCCACGAATATTCAGGGACCAGATCCGTCCCAGGCACCGGCCCAGGTTCCCAAGGTACCACCAGGCAGAAGCCCGGCCCTCTCGGAGCCGACATTTGCCAAGAACCAAGATAGTCTCAGGTGGTGACGGCGTGAACAACACGCTTCGTGGCCTCCTGCGGGCCGGAGCCGGGGAGTGTTAATTGCAGATTCCAGGGCCGACCCTGGACCTCAGGAGACAGGCTCTCTGGGGATAGCGCCCCCAAAACTGCATTTACTAAGGTACTTCTTTTTCATGCAACAATTTGAGAACAACCGAATTCTAAAGAGGTTTTAGTTTAACCCCTCATCCAGTTATTCACCCAACAAGCGTGTATTGAGCGCCTACCACATGCCTGGTGCTGGGGAACAGAAGGATGAAAACAGTGGGGTCCTGGTCTGATTCCCGGCGTCTAGATGTCCTGGACGCTGGAAAGGGAATAATAAACTCTACCCCTAGGTTCTACAGCTGGGCTGGTGGACACGGATAACTACACCAGCAAGAATCCTGAGTAAATGAGGTGGGCAGGACCTACGTGCTCTGTCTCCTTGCTCTGGAATGAGACACTTGTAGTCTAGCAAGAAAGACACACGCAGGGGCACCTGGGGGGCTCAGTGGTTGAACATCTGCCTTTGGAGCAGGTCGTGATCCCAGAGTCCTGGGATCGAGTCCTACATCGGGCTCCCCGCAGGAAGCCTGCTTCTCCCTCTGCCTGTGTCGCTGCCTCTCTGTCTCTCATGAATCAATAATTAAAATCTTCTTTAAAAAACAGAGAGAGACACACACACACATAATCTGGGAGGCATAGGCCATGTGTACATGTTGGACGGAGGGAGGAAAGAACAATTAACCCCAGCTCTGGAGGCTTGTGGGTGTCTTTACCAAAATGAAGGAGGACAATCCAAGCACCCAAGACATTAAGAACAATTAGGTAATGACACAGACAGCTAGCCAAAGGCTGGAGGAAATAGGCAAATGAATGAAAATGTCCTGATGTTTCAGATGAGAGGGCTCTCACTACTGGAGAAGGCAAGGGAGATGGTCTTGGGTTGGAATCTGAGGTATTGACATGAATTTGTTATTTTAAAAAATACCTATTTCTTTGCTGCAAAGGCCCTTAGGTACTGGTATTCCAGTTATAACTAGGCACACCCAGTGCCCAGATCTTGGTTCCTAAACACTTCCCCACCAAAAGGAACTGGGCTTTCTTAAGAAGAAAAAAAAAAGGCCAATTCTAGGGCTGGAGGGGAAAAAGTATAAAATGAGCCTAAAACATCGTGTTGGGCAAAATATTAAATGTCAAAAAATGATGAGATAGTTCAAGCGGAAACGGGCTAGCCTGAAAGGCCAAATTAGGAAAACTCTGTACTCACTAGACAAAAATAGGAAACGGCTCAAACGTCCATCAGTGGTACACTGGATGAATTGTCATATATTTATACAGTGAAAATATTTACTAAATAGCAATAAAAAAGTGCACATGCTCGTGTGTATGTGTATGTGTGTGTGTATGCTGGTGATGGTGTATGTTCATTGTTTTGTTAGTTTTCTATTACTGTTGTAATAAATTATCACAAACTCAGTGACTTCAGACAAAAGTTTATTGTCTTATAGTTCTGTAGGCCAGACATCTAGTAAGGGTGTCACTATGCTAAAATCAAGGAGTCCACAAAGCTACACGCTTCTTTCTGGAGTCTCGAGGGATGTATTCACAGTCTTGCCTTTTCTAGCCTCTAGAGGCCGCTGGCACTCCTTGGCTTGTGGCCCCTTTCACCGTCTACAAGGCCAGCAATGGCAGGTATAGTCTCGCTCTCATTCTATTAAGCTGACATTGACTCTTCTTTTGTGTCCTCTTCCACTTTTAAGGACCCTTGTAATTACATTGGACCTACCCAACAATCCCGGATAATCTATATTAAGGTCAGCCAACTAGCTACTGTATAATTCCAACTGCAACCTTAATTCCCTTTGACATGTAACATATTCATAGGTTCTGGGGATTAGGGTGCAGACACAGTGGGGGATAAGGGAGTGTGTTATTCTGCTTACTTCAGTTGTATGACTTCTCAAAATTTTTCTATAGTTTCAGATTTTTTAAGAATAAAAATCTGAAGAAAAACCCTTAAAATAGAAAATCCTGGGGAATTCTACCCCAAAAGCTACTAAAATTAATAAGTGAGTTTAGTGAGATCACATGCTACAAGGCCAAAAAACAAAAATCAATTCCGCTTCTACATACTATCAACAAACGGTTGGAAATTTACATTTTTAGAAATTGAAATTTAAAAAAATATCATTTGCAATAACATCAGATAACATTAAAGGGCTTAGGAATATATCTAAGAAAATATGTGCAAAATTTGTATAAAAGAAGCTACAAAACATTGACAAGAGAAATTAAAGAGAATCTAAGGAAATGGCGACATATACCCTGTTCGTGGATTGGAAATCTCAACATTGTTAGGATGCCCATTCTACTCAGAGTCATCTATAGGGTCTGTACAGTCCCAGGAAAAACTCCAATGGGCTCACTTGTAAGAACTGACAAGGCGGTGATCCTGGGGTTCTGGGATCGAGTCCCATATTGGGCTCCCTGTGGGGAGCCTGCTTCTCCCTCTGCCTATATTTCGGCCTCTCTCTCTGTGTCTCTTATGAATAAATAAATAAAATCTTAAAAAAATAAAAAAATAAGTATAATCTGTATGGAAAAGTAAAGAACCTAGAAATAGTCAAAACAATTTTGAAAGTGAATAGTAAAGTTGTAAGGCTCACAGTACTTGTTATCAGGACTTACTACAAAGCTTTTAACCTTAAGGCTATGAATCAAAAGAGCATAGGATTGACATAAGCACAGACATATAGATACATGCAGCAGGATAGAGAGCTCAGAAATAGACCCATACATAGATGATCGATTGATTTTTTTTAATTTTTATTTATTTATGATAGTCACACAGAGAGAGAGGCAGAGACACAGGCAGAGGGAGAAGCAGGCTCCATGCACCGGGAGCCCGACGTGGGATTCGATCCTGGGTCTCCAGGATCGCGCCCTGGGCCAAAGGCAGGCGCCAAACCGCTGCGCCGCCCAGGGATCCCGATCGATTGATTTTTGACAAAGGTATCCTTAAGGAGCAGAAAATCAGAAATTTCTTGCGAGACCAGCAAGGCCTGGTCTACCCCATGAGTAGTGAAGACCCCACCTCTGGAGGGGTGTAGGAGGCCGGGTGGCCCTCTGTCCTGCGCAGACCCCTCCTAACCAAGGTGGACGCACCAGGCTTCAAGCCCGGGATCCCTAAGCTGCCCAGGCGGAGGGGAACGGCCGCGGGTTGCTGTCCGCGGTGCTGAACGCGCACGGTTCCCTGATCCTACTGCCCTCCCGGTCTGAGGCTGGATAACCACGACTCCCCACGACCCTCGTTTTCTTTGTTGTATGTTCCGTTTTGTTGCATATTTTCCATTTGTCTGTGCTAATAATTTTTAAGGCTAAGTGCTCACTTATTATGGAAATATCAAACATATACGGAATTAGAAAAAAGTTTAGTCAATTTCTATGAACTCATCACCCAGTGTCAACTGTTACCAACCCACATTTCATCAATGCTCAGCACCCCCCCAGATTATTTTGAAGCAAATCTCACGTATTATTTCATTCAGAAATACTTCAGTAGAGATCTCTAAAAGATAAAAACTCTTTGAAACCTACGTTCCCTATATATTAACACAGCTAAAAAATAATGAATGTTTCTTAACATCACCAAATACTTGGTTAGGTTAGTATCCAAGATCAGATTTATGGGTGGGATTCAAAGCCCAGAGGAGTTGAGGTATCTTCCTGGGGATGCCCAGTGTAACCAGGACTTAGTGCTGGGGCAGAGGTCAGCCCATTAGCATCACGAGATCCCAGCCATAGATTGGCACATACCAGCCTGCTTGGCACAGATGATATTAAGCAAGTCTGAGGCACAGATTGCTGGCTCAGGCAGGTAGTCACACCCACAGAGTGGCCCGTGAGGACACCAGTGCCCAGGGACTACAGGCTCCAACACACTCCTACCCAGACAGATGTCTAGGTCAAGATCAGTTACATCAGAATTTCTGCAGAAGACTGCCTCAGTATTTCCACTCAGCATTCTAATGTTCAGACAGAACAGAATCACAGCCTGACCTGGGATTGAATGCTACCCCCACCACTGACTGGCTGTGGAACCTTGGACAAAGCACTTCACCTCTCTGAAGCTCAGATTCCTTGTGGGCTTAACTTACCATAGGCCACCCCCAATATGTGTTTGCATCTACAGTGTCCCCTCCTGGAATAACTTGTTTGCCAACCCAAATTCTAGGCTCCCATGAAGAGCTAGTTCAGAAACCACTGAACGGTGGTTCAGTTCCACTGTGGTTAATCCCCTCCTGGAGTCATCTCTAATATGGTGGTATTGTATGTGTTTGGGGCTCAGAGCAGAGCTGCAGGCACCTTAGAAACCAGCTGGTCCAATCTCTGATTTTAAAGACGGGAAATGAGGAATTGATCAAGGACAGAACTTGCCTCGCATCACAGAGCAGGTGAACAATGAAGCTGTAATGATCGAGGGGTCTCTCTGTTTCCTGGAGCACAGATTTGGGCCTTTCCAGTTCTACCACTTACCAATCAACATAACCTTTTTGCACCTCCATTTCCTCATCCGTAAATTGCAGAGTATATCTCCAAACTCCCAGGGTTGCTGTGAGAACTGAGATGATGGGCTTTGAAACGTGTAAAGTGAGTGGTCTTGTAGGGGTTAGATTCCCTATTATTTCCACAGAAATAACAACAGAGGCATATGAGCTCCTTGGGGCAGAGATCTGCCTCAGGCACCTGGATACACTCTGCAGACAACAGGCTCTCAGAAAGCCAGCCTGGGGGAGGGGTTTGCAGTCAGCCTGTGAAGGTGGATTGAGAATGAGAGCCATGGCTGTGTCAGGGCTCCAAGGCCCAAAGAGGTCCTTGGTTGGAACATTGGGAGAAAGAGGACAGTGGTGGACACATGACTTTAGCTCCGCTGATGGGAGACCATGGCATGATAGAGCTCTGATATCACACAGGTCTGGGCCCCATCACCACTCCCCTGAGTTTTCTCAGGACTATCCCCCACCCAGTGGTGGTGTGAGGCTCAGAGGAGGCCCAGTGGTCCTCCTAGTCTGGTGCCTAACAAAGAGCAGATGTGAAGTTAGTGCATTTCACTTCCTGCTCCCTCTTTCTGGGCAGTAATTCCTACCATATGATGTAGTCTACAAGGAGCATTTACTTTTCTCAAGTAAATATTTCATGAGGTACATGCTGTTATCTCCATTTTATGCAGGGGGGACCCAAGACTCTAAGAGGAGAGGGAATTTTGCTAGGTTACATTAATGCTCAATTGCGGAGATGGGACTTAGACCCATGTGGACCTCGATTCAGAGCCCTAGATCCCTCCTCTCCTCTGTAATGCCCTGGGGCTCTATGCTGGAAGGCTGTATGGGTAATAAGCCAGGGAACTCTGACCTGGATCAGCTCCTGGGCTGTCTGCTTTGTCAGCTGAGCCACCTCCAGGCTTAAGGGAGAACACAGCACTGTTGGTGGATGGTAGCTCAGTGAAACCCACAGGAGTTGCCCAGGCTAAGCCCATTCATTCTGAGACTACATTAATAGAGGAGGTGACCAGGAGGTGAGAGGTGAAAGGCAATTTAGGTCCAGTACTGGTCATCTCATATCATATCAGGGGCAGCACTGGACTCCATACTCCTAGGGAGACTTGAACAAACAAGGGGTATGGGGTTGTAGTTTACCACGCAGCAAGTCTGGGTTGGGGATGTCCCTGATGAGTGGTGGTAAGGCACAGGCTATTCACTGCAGAAAAAAGCAGCCTCAGAAGGATGAGCTCACCACCCTTCTATCCCTGGCAGGCTGTCCCCAGGCAGAGGGAGTAGGCAGGGTGCATAGGCCTAGAGCACAGAGCTGGGATCAATGGAGAAAGCCACAGGCAGTCGGATTTTTTTTTAAGATTTTATTTATTTATTCATGAGAGACACAGAGAGAGAGGCAGAGACACAGACAGAGGGAGAAGCAGGCTCCATGCAGGGAGCCCGATGTGGGACTCGATCCCGGATCCTGGGATCACGCCCTGAGCCGAAGGCAGGCACTCAACCACTGAGCCACCCAGGCATCCCCTGCAGTCAGATTTTAAAGCCACATGAGAAAATGTCTAAGAGTTCAATAGGAGAGAAATCAGGGAAGTACTTATAAACTGTAAAGCACTGTGAGTGATGCATGTGAATAATCTCTGCAACCACAAGTTGTGAAGACGTGACCCTGACTCAGGAGCCACAAATAATAAAGACAAAAAGAAGTGCTCAGAGCAGAGTATTTACCACCACTGAGATATTCAACCAAATAAGCTAGAAACATTTAGCAACATGCTGTCAGGAAAAGAGGATGAAGATGAAGATGGGAGAGGCCTATTATCTTTCTCCATCTAAGACACAAAACAAAGCAATGGGGGCAAAGATGGCCCTAGGGAAAGCCCCAAAGAACCGGTGAGAGAAGGGGTGATAAAGGGAGGTCTGTTTGCACTTAGAGGCCCATGTCCTTGATAGGGGATAATTCTCAGAGGCCTCCTGAGCCTCTAGATCCTCAACCTGGAGCCCCAGGAGGCCAGTCCTCCCCTCTCCACAGGCAGAGGAAATCCCAAACCCAGTGCCTGGGAGCGAGGACAAGGCATTCCAGGTCTGTGGAGAGAGGAAACTTGGGGCTTGGAGATCACCTGACTTAAGGTAGGACAGCCCCCTTCCTGCTGCAGGGGACAGTATCTGTGCCTGCCCCCACCCAGGTGACAGCAAGAGGGGACAGAGGCCAGCTCAGCCCCAGTGGGTCCTGGAGATGAGTGGGGAGGTGGACCCTCCCGCAAGTCCTTGCTCTCGGTAACCTCTCCTCTCCCTTTCAACCTCCCAACCTGACCCAGGCCCTCCTATGCTCCGCTCTCTCACTCTGCCCTTGGCTTTTTGCTTCTCTGCTCCCAACACCTCCCCTGACTGCCCACACCCAAAGCCCTGATCACCGTGACAGTGGCCTCTGCGACCCAGCCTCTGCCTACCCTCCGCCTGCCTCATCACGCTCGGTGCTCCCCATCGCTCACAAGGTCCCGGCCACACCAACTACTTGCTGTTCCCTCTGCTTGCAAAGCTCTTCCCCCAGCCGTCTGCCTCTCATCTGAGGCCCTGCCCCTGATGTCACCTTCTCAGAGAGGCCTTCCTGGACCACTGACCCAATGTTGCTCCCACCCTGACCGCCACTGTGTCCATTCTCTCTCGCTCTCTTCACGCCACTACTGCTCCTCAGATCATCTCATTTTCAGCTTCTGGTTGGCTGTTTAGCATCTCCTTCCCCTTACTTGCACCAGAATGCAAGTTTTGTTCACTGCTGTGACCCTAGAACCTACAACCCATTAAGCATAAATCAAATGAATGAATGAATGAATGAATGAATGAGTCATTATCTCTTTTGTTTGGATTTATTCCTCTCTCTCTTTTTCTCTTGCTGATGTCTCCATCTCCCCACCCTCCCCATCTTTACTCAGGCTGAGTGTGTCCTAAGGGACTGGCCAAGATACAGTGTGGGTTCTACTCTGAGGACAAGGAGAGGATTGGCTCCCAGGAGAGGCCAGAGGGCTGGGGTCCCAGTCTCCTCTCTGCGAGAGAGGAAGGGACCTGGGCGTGGTGTGTGTGGAGGCACTGCTACACCATAAGCCTTCCTGAGGAATAAGGGGGTGGCGCCACAGTGCTGGCAGCCAGGGGTCCCGGGGCACCCCAGCAGGACCCACGTAGGTGGGATTCTGAGAAGATTTTGAGCCCCCTCTCTCTTCCCACCTTCACATTCCCTGCTGGGGGGTCCCCGCTGGATGGATGAGTAGGAAGTCAGAGATCAAGGTTGCTAGAATGAGACAAACCATGGGGGTCACCGCGAGGCTAGTGCAGGACCAAGGAAGTCAAAGGAAGGGTCTGAGGGGAGGCACACCCCAACCCATCACTTCCATCTGCCTTCCAGTCAGGAGCACATGGCACTTTCACTGTCTTCTGCAAAGTGCTCTGCAAACAGCTCAGCAACAGCATGCGGACCCCGCTCCTCAACAGACGCTGCCCCTGCGTCCCCCACCACAGAAATTCAAGAGCCAATTTGTGTGTCTCAGCTCCTACCTTCCTTTTTCCCTCTGATGAGTCAGGGGCCGGGTGACCTGGATACAGTGACCAAGGGACATACCAATAAGCTGGGCCTCTCCCAAAAAAGAAGTCCCCAGGCCCCCGGGAGACACCCCTTCTCTCACTGGTTCCTTGGCTCCAAGGAACAGGGGCTCCAGGGGAGCTGGTGGGGCCTGTTCTGGTTCCCGGGGGCCACCCACCCACACAATCAGGGGCGAGTCTGAGAGGAAAGGGAGGCTGTCCCCTCAGTCCTCCACTCAGCAGATAGCACCACGCTGGGCTCTGAGCCTCCGGAAGACTAGTCAGGACTCAAGGACTGGGAGCAGATGTCGGCACAGGATGAGGGCCAAGACGGGGACCATGGGAGGCCAGTCCTTGGGCTGGCCCTGCATTGTGCCCCTCAGGCCTGATGGGGAGGTCTGGGATCCTTGGCCAGGTCCACGAGAGGAGCTGCCCCAGGCTGGAGGGGGCTGGTGACCGGCAGGCTGTGGAGGAAGCAGAAGCCGGGGGGTACAAGCTTTTAGAACCCGGGGAAGGGTGAAGGTCAGGGTGGAGCCACGTGGGGGCAGCCCTAGCATTCAGAGAGCCCTGGGTCTCTCTTCTCCCAAGATCCTGCCACAAGGAAAGCCCTGAGGCCCTTATTCTGGCCCCGCTGAGACTGGCAGGAAGGTTCCAGGGATGGCTGTCAAGTGGGCTGGAAGGACACCAGGGCCTCTAGCCATTAGGGAGGTAAGGTTGAGGAGAGACAGCAGCCCCAACCCAGACCCCACACAGGACAGGCAGGGACATCTGGAAGGCTGCTGGAAGGCTGGCTGATCTGGCAGGGCAGGGAGGCCCACTTGTCCTCTGGGAGCTCAGGCTGCCTCAGTGAGCAGGTCCTGCACACTGACCAGCGTGACTGGCCAGCTCCTACCTCCGGCCCAGCATGGGCCTGGCCCCCAGTGGTGACCAAACATGTGCCGGGGCCTGCACGGGTGGCTGGAGAGAAGAACATGGACAGCACGGACCCTGCCCAGGGTCCAGAAAAACAGCTGGGGCCTTTCCCCACTGGGGAAGCCTTACCCACTCTGACCCAGGCCACACTGCCCACCTCACCTGACCAGCCTGAGGAGCTGGTCCTTTGACCTGGTGTAGATCTCGGTGGCCAAGCTCTGCAGCACGCCCTGCATCCACCACACGTCGGCTGGCATATCGGGCAGCCACACAACCAGCCTGGACGAAGGGGCAGCAGACACTTCGCTCAGCTAGGCTGGAGCATGCGGCTGGCCATGCCCCCCTACCCCAGGGGCCCGGAGCAGGGAGCCAGAGGCTCCTGACCCCGAGGCACCAGGCCTAGTGGAAGCCGAATAGGGGGCAAGAAGCACCCAGCAGCGTTGGCCCCGCCGCAGAGCTGGCTATCGACTCCACCGGGGAGTCGGGCAGGAAGGGGCAGGGCTCTGGGGCCAGGCTGGGGTCCGGTTGCCGCCCAGCTCCGCTGCTCATCGGTTGTGTGACCTGGGCACGTCAGGGAACCTCTCTGGGCCTCAGCTTCCTCACCTGCCAGAGGAGGACTGTGACCTTGCCTGCAGGTGCCCCAGACCTGCCCTCCCTACTCCCCTGGCCTCCAGCCTCCCTCCTCTTAGCAGCCAGTGACTTCCCTGAAATGCAATCTGATCAGAGCCTTTCTTGCTCAAAACCCTCCCATGGCTCTCCGTGCGAACCCTGTAGGGTCAAGAGGACCAGGCCACCCAATTGTGGCTGAGACAGTGCCTGGCTGGGCACCTTCTCCGACTCACTGGGCACGGCAGGGCCTCCCCCCAATATGTTGCCTTCAGCGGAGCTTCTAAACAGGGCCTCAAACTAGCAGACAGTCCACAGGGTGGAGTATGAGAAGCAAAACGTAACCTGGACCATCACCTCCCTTGCTCTGGACTGTCTGCCTCTATTATTACAACCTGCATGTTGAACATGTATGTTACAAAAAAAAATACTAAGTATGAAGTTGAATTTCCCTGTGACCTGGATAGGTTTCTCCCTCGGTGCTCATATAGACACTTTTTTTTTTTTTGAGCTGAAAAGTCTAGACTTTGCACTTCTCCTCTTTGACTCTGACCTGTGGTTTCAATCTAACAGCTCAGCATGAGGAGAATCTGAATTAACGGAAAGCTCTCTTCCTGGCTTTGGGCCACTGGCAATGCCAAGAGCAGGGCTGATCCAGTCATTAACTCATCGTGGAGCGAAACAGAGACCTGTGGTTCATCGTCAGAGACCTTTTAGGGGATAAAGAGTTTTTAAAAATACTCTTCTCCATGGAAACGCTTTGTTGCCTTCCCACCACTGTTAGGATGCAGACCACACTCCTCGCCTGGCTGCGGAGCCCTGCGTGTCTAGCCTCTGCCAGCCACCGTCACGTCGCCTCACCCCTGCTGCATCTTGTCCTGGACTCTACCTTTTGGCTCCTGCCATACTGGCCTCCTTTTCTGCTCCTCCAGTGAGCCTTACTGCCTCTGCCTTCCACCCCATGACCTTTGCACATGTTGTTCCATCCCTCTGGAACTCTTTTCCCCTTCCCTCTTTCCCTGGACTCCTACCCATTTTGTCTGGTGGACTCCTACCCATTCTTCAGGTTATAACTCCAAAGTTACCTTCTTTAGGCAGCCTTCCCTGACCAGAGAGCCCCCAGGGTGAGCTATCTCGGTTCACAGCCAGTGTAGACCTCTTTGAGGAATTACAGCCAGTGTAGACCTCTCTCGGCATCACTAGGCACAAGTGTGATTGCACAGATGAGCGTGTGATGGTTTGTGGGTTGTAAACTCCACAAGGCCAGGGACTGGGTCTGAGTCAGTGCTGCCTCCTTATCCCCAGCCAAGGCCTGGCCCTAGGTAGGCCCTCGATAGCTATAGGTGGAATGAATGAACAAACAACGCAGGTGATTCATTCATCAGCAAAGTCAGAATGGTTAGTGAGGGCTTAACCACAACCAGTCTGCCCTGGAAGGGCCTTATTTTATAGAAGAGGAATCAGAGGCCCAGCGGGGTCAAGAGACCCGGCCCAGGCCACACAGCAAATCTGAACCAGACCAGCCCCTAGAGTTATTTCTCCAGAAGCAGCACATTTACTCTGAGGCTCTAACAGGTAGAGCAAAGGGCCAAAGGTCCTACAGACAGGGGAGGGCCAGAGCGTTGACCCCGAGGCCCCGTTTCTGATCCACCGGTCATCCCCTTGATAGCCCATCTCCCCATCAGTCCCATCTTGCAGAGGAGAGCACCGAGACGCCTCTGGGTTGTGCAAGCAGCACCATGCAAGCAGGCAGAGGCCAGCCAGGCTCTGCCCACCCAGCGTGCCAGCTGCCCTTCCTGCCATGGGCGCTCATCTCTACCACAACCTGGGTGACAAGCCAGGCCCTGTCCAGGGCCGCTGGCTCAGCCTCACCTTTTGCTCCGGAAGTAAATGTACTCGAAGGGTAGTGTGCAGGGCAGCAGCAAGTAGGTCAGTGCCCGGCCGGGCCTCGACCGGCAGAAGCGGGCCCAGGTGCTGGCGTCTCTCGTACATGCCTTCTGCAGTGCTGCAGGAGAAGCCACGGCATGACCACCACCCCTCCAGCCGGCCCCCTCACCATCGCCCCCTCCGCCTCACAGGGTCCACAAAGCATGCCCACCCCCCACCCCGCCCCCATCTGCAGAGAAAGAAGCGGCACTGACCAAGCCCCTAGTCTGAGCCAGCAGAGGGCTAGGCACTCAGCCTGCGCTCTCTCACTATTGTCCCCAAACCACAGGGTGCGCCCCTTTCACAGATGAGGAGACTGAGGTTCAGAGTGGGGAAGTGACTTGCTCAAAGACCATCCCAGGAAGTGGCAGGGGTCCCAAGATGGAATCAAGGTCTCAGGCTCTCCGAGATCTTTCCATCTCTCTCACCCTTCTGCAAAGTCTGTTGTGGCCTCTCACCCCAGGATGTGACAAGTGCCCGTGCCACACCTCCCTTGATGACAGCAACACATCAGTGTCATTAGCAACAGCGGCAGCAAGAATGACATAACCACTTCCCGAGCCCCCCCATCTCCTGAGATGACCAGGGTAGAAGGGACTGGCATCCTGGCCAGGGCAGCACTGGAGCCCAAATCCTAGTTTTCAGACCAAGGCTCGGCCTCCAACCCAGTCTCGGGCTAGTGCTGTCGGGACAGCCCCTGAGAGGGGTCATAGACACCCCAGCTCAGAGACCCAGCTCCTCCTCACTTACCTGCATGTGTCCCAAGATGCAGGCAGACACGCACAGATTAAGGGAGGTCTGCAAGGGTCCAGCGGGTTAACACCTGTCCCAGGGACCAGCGGCCTGTGCGGCCCCATCACGAAGGCGGCTCTCCGGTGCCCCCAGGTGGCCGCAGGGATGCTCCTTGGGTCCAGAGCTCCGAGCTCAGACCTCTGGGCTCAGCATAGATCCAGGCCTGTCCCCGCACACCCCATATGGTCTCCGGTGCAGAAAGAGTCTCCATCCCCTCGCTCACCCAGACTGTCCTCGCTCTAACCTCAGCCACTGTCCTCTCTCCTCCCAGTCTCCCCCCACCCCCAGCCCGTCCCCTCCCAGCCAGGTGCAGAAAGCTGTATCTAGACTTCGGAGCAGCCGTGAACTCTGAAAAGGAGGGGCTGCCCCTCGTAAGCTTCCCCCCACCCCCAGTGCCTCCCCATCTCTCTCGACCTGCAGCTCTCAAAGCCACCTACCTGATGCTCCCAGCCTGTGAGCTTACCTCTGTTCCCTTGCCCCTCAGCCACCACGCTGCAGCCACGGGGCCCTCCAGCAGCCCCCACCAAACCCAGGACATTTGCACACACTGTACCCTCTGCCTGGATGCTCATATTTCCCCCCTTTGTCTGGCCAGCTCCTCCTTTCTGGTCTCACTTAGATGCTGTTCAAACCCACATCCCCACCACGATTACACACACCTAGACTTTTCTGCTGCTGCATTGTGACTTTCGGGTCACTACGAAGGAGGGCAGAGTAAGTGGCTCAGAGCAGAACTCCTGCTTGGGCTGTTAGCTGTGTGACTTTGGACAAGTCACTTCACCTCTCTGTGCTATGGTTTCCTCATCCATACAATGGGGACAATTCAGTGCCATCCTCAGAGTATTGGTGGGAAGAAGAAATGAGCCCATCTCCACGTGGAGAGTCCAGACTCCTCTGTGTGTGCCTCTCTCACGTCCTCAGTACTTTCTGCCCTTCCCTGGCCTTGTGGGCAAAGGCCTGGCTTTCTGAGGCCCAGATTTGGGTCGGAATTTCCCAATTGCCTCTCCGAGCTTCAGTGTCCTCATCAGTGAAATGGGGTAAGGAAAACATGTAAGCCCACGGCTGTGGTATGGAGTGAATGACACCACTGTATAAAGGCGCTGGCGCCACACTTGGCACATAATAGATGCTCAATAAAAGAGTCCTGTCCTCTTCCAGCCAGTGAGCACCTGCAGGGTAGGGTCTCTGCCCCCAGGCTCCTGTGTGCAGGGCATGTGCTAGGTGAGCAAGCACATGAAGGAAGGGGCAGTACCAGCCTCCAGCTCTGGCGAGAGCTGCTCAAAGTTGGGCACGTCCTTGACCAGCACATTGGGCACCGTCCAGTTGAGAGACAGGCCCCCCTCCTGGCCTCTGTCGTGGCCGGTGTCCTGGCTCCCATCAGCTGGGGCTGGAGGCTCCTTAGACACCAGCATCCAAAGCACTGGCTCCTTCGTAAGTCCTGGATCAGTGGAGAGGAGGGATGTGACAGGTCAGCACGTCTGGAACCCCCTGGTGACACGTCCTGCCTCTCCATGCCACCCGAACCTGCCCCAGTTCCCAAAGCCAGCTCTGGGGACCTGCTTGGTCCAGGGTGGACCCCTGGCTCCTCCTGAATGAATGGCCTCTTCCCGTTGTCCCCCGGGCCTTCTCTGATCCTCATTTCCTGTGTACTTTCTAGTGGTTAATCAGAGCCTGTACCCTGAAGACACAGCCCAAGGTTCAAAACCCTGATGTCAGGCAGCTCTGGTGGCACAGCGGTTTGGCGCCGCCTGCAGCCTGGGGTGTGATCCTGGAGATCCACGTTGGGCTCCCTGCATGGAGCCTGCTTCTCCCTCTGCCTGTGTCTCTGCTTCTCTCTGTGTGTCTATGAATAAATAAATAAAATCTTAAAAAAAAAAACCCTGATGTCGACAGCTGCTAGCTCCGCAACCTAACTGCTCTGTGCCTCGGTTTCCCTCTTTGAGAAAGTAGAAAATTAAAATCTGCTTCATGTGGTTGTTCCAAGAATTAAAGAAGACGAGTATGTAAAGCTCACGCCAGATCCGGGCATGTGTCAAGTGCTCAGCAAATTCTCTCCTGCTGCTGTGTGTTTGGGGCTGCAGCATGGGGGGCAAAGGACGTGGGTTCTGGAGCCAGATGGCCTGTGTTCAAGTCTCCGCTCTACACGTTGGACAGCATTGCCCGGTGGGATGACATGCAAACCCTCCAGCTGAGAAGACCCCACCCTCTACCCCACGAACACACACACACACACACGCTCTCCGGAGGCCACACTGAGTTATGGTGCTGGCCTCCGTTCCTTTGCTGTTGCTCATCTTCCCTCTGCTCGGAATGCTCTCTTCCCGTCTTCAGCCTTTCCAGTCTTTGTAACTCATCGAAGCCCAGCTTACCTGATGCCGCCTCCAGGAAGGCCCCCTTGCCCACCCCCTAGGCTGGGTCAAGCGCCCCCTCTGGGCTCCCATAGGCCTGAGCATCCCTCTGTCTCCGTGGGGAGAGGTCTCCCTCTTGGTCTGTCTCCCGGCACCAGGCTCAAGGCAACTCAAGAGCAGGACGCACATGTGATCCTCTCTGGGTCCCCAGCCTCCAAGCAGAGGCCAAGCATAGAGCAGAGGCTGAGCATAGAGCACAGTGAGGGATCCGAGGTCCCCAAATGCCAGGAAAGCAGGTTCTACTCGGGGCTCACAGGAAGCAGGATGCCCCTCTACTCTGGGGGCTGCCACCTACCGCGTCTCTCCAGGAACCTGAGGGCATCCAGGTAACCTTGTCTGCAGTTGTCCGCTGCTACCTGCAAACACACAGGTCAGGATGGGGTGGGGAAGGCCTGGCCCTGACCCCTGAGCTGTGTTCACAGACCAGAGACTTGTCACCTGGAAGCCATCCCTGCCCAGCCTGCGCTCCCCAAGAAGCCCCTCAGCAGTACTCAAGGACCCTGTGCTGGGTGGGGATGGTGACAGGACCGCAGGCAGGACAAGCTGCTCCATCAGCTGCCCTCCCCGCAGCTCCATGTCACCTCCCTCCTCTCAGACTCCTTGGTGGGGGCTCTTGCTCCAGACTCTTCTCTCCGGTCTCAGTGCCCTCCTCTGGACAACACGGTAACTAGGCCTGGCCCAGGATGCCCGGGGCGTTCCCTGGATCCCTATGGGTCAATGCCCTTTGCTGTTTATTCCCAGAACCAGCCTGAGATAGCAGAGGACCCCAGGGGCCCACACCCACCCTGTCTCAATCAGGGCTCCACTGTTGGAGAAAAGCCACCTGCAGGTCCAGGAGGGAGCCCTGCCTTCCCCTGTTGTGTGGCCTCAGGATGGCCACGCCACGTCTCTGACAGCCTCGGCTTCCTTGTCTCTAAGATGGGGCTGAGATTTTCTGTCCACCCCATAGCTATAGGGAAGATCAGAGTAAATGAACATGATCTTGTTTCATAACTTCTAAAACACAACAGAACCAAGGTGCCTGGCTGGCTCAGTTGGTAGAGCATGGGGCTCTTGATCTCAGGGTCATGGGGTCAAGCCCCATGTGTGGCATAGAGATTATTTAAAGTCAAAAACAAAACAAAATGCTACAGAACCACAGAAGGTATGAAAGAGTGGGAGAGGAACAGGACATGGTTGAGGTAGAGGAGCATGTTATGGTGATTGTTTGTGGTCAAATTACCCATTTTCCAGAAATATAAAGGGAAAAAAGCAAATGTAGATCTATTGTCCATTTTTGTCTATGCTTTTGCCTCCCCTCCACAGGAGTAGTCAACTGGCCACAGTCCAGGGCCATAGTTAGGAGCATGGGTCGAGGCTAGCTGAGGATTTGGAACTGGGCTTTGCTGCTTCCAGGCCATGTGACTTTGAACAAGGTGCTTAGCCTCTCTGAGCCTTGATGTCTTCCCCCTGAGTAACAGAGATGGTAGTAGTACCTTCTCACGGAGCCTGGCCCAGAGGAACACCAGCGGAGGCCTGGCTCACACCCCAGCTCTGCAGGGTTGGCATTGATGTGGGGCCAGTCCTAACTCAACATTCACTCAAGCAGCGGAAACTTGTAAGGACACAACCTGACGCCTGTGCCATAGGTTCAAGAGCTTGGCTGTAAGACTCAGAGCATGTATCCCAACTGCCCTGAGGTGGGGTCAGGGGAAAGTCTGACTCACAGGATCCTTGATCACGGTCAAGCCTCTAATACCTTCAAAGTGGGCACTGGGGCCAGGCCTACCTCAGAGTTGGGGGATAGGAGGCAACTGAACCCCAGGAAGAAGTTCTTGGTGGAGATCTGGAGACTAGCATTGAAGGCATTCAGCTCATGTATGTTGGCCGAGGTGCTCTGCGGGCAGATGTCCACCGTCCCATGGAAAGGGGACACGGTGATTGTGGAGGGCGAGTCCGAAAAGGGCAGGTAGTTGCTCAGAGCCCCATCGATGTAGCGCTGCAATTCAGGTGGGTTATCTGCTCAGGATCCCTGCCCTCTTCCCATGCTGCAGCTGGTGACCCCTAGCTGCCCCCGAGCCACGAGGTCCCCTCTAGCCCAGGATGCTGTGAGCAACCCCCAGGAGCAGAGGGAGGGCCTGGCACACGGTAGGTCCTCAAGGAGCACAGATTCCCTCCAACCACATGCCTTTCAGCAGTAGGGACACTGGATACCCAGAGCACGGGGCAGGGACTCAGTCATCAAGCCCCCAAAGTGCACTTACCTCCCCTCTGAATTCAGGGGGAATTATCCCACAGTAGAAAGGAAAGTACACGGTGCAGATCAGAGCCTGGGAAAACAAGTCAGGGGAAACACAGTTGTTCATGCTCCTGGCGTTCGGAACGTGGTGTGGTGTCTAACCCTAGAGCAGCCTGCAAAGTTTGTGGCATTAGCCCTGTGTTCAGGGGAGGGAAACGAGGCCCAAAGAGGTTGCCATGTCCCAGCCAAGTTCTCAAGATTAAGAAGGTATTTGAATGCAGAGGCCTGCATGACACCCACCCTCCTCTTGCTTCTCATGGGTCCTTGCTCACTCGATACTGCTGCTGGGATTTTTTTCCCCCTAAAGACAATTTTTCCTCCACCTACCTGGAAGGAATTCTTCACCAACAATCTAGATATGTCTGTCTCCCAAAGTGTGTTCCCTGACCCAACCAGATGCATCTCAAACAAGAAATCTTGACTTCTTTATCCACTTGGAAAACGTTGTCCATTCTTCCCAGCAGAGGCTCTGACAAGTCCAGCAGTGAAAAAGATGCTTACCATATTGACATTTGGGGCTTGAGAAAATTCTGTCTTGGGAGTGGGGGACGGATGGAGTGGGAGGATGCTGTCCTGTACGAATGGGATACTTAGCAGCATCCTTGGCCTCTACCCACTAGACGTTAGTACTTTGTGCACGCGCGTGCACACACACATATACACACACAGTTGTGACAACCAAAAATGCCTCCAATGTTGCCAAATGTCCCCAGGGTGAAAAATCATGAGAACCACTGGCCTAGAGCTTACCAAACTCCTAGAGCATAGAACCTTGTCTTGAGATCTACTTGGAAACATCCCTCCAACCCTCTCTGAGGGACACAGAACTCATCCTGGCTCTAACCAGTTGGAGATGCAAGCGGCAGCATCTCATTCCCCCAGATTAATAATAATAGTGACAGCAGCTAATGTTTACTGAGTCCCTGCTGTGTGCTATGTGCTATGTGCCCTACAGGCAAAGATGCTGGGATAACTTTTAGGGTCCCTGACTGGCTTTCTCGATAGCCCATGGACATCAGCTCACAGCAAAGGATGTGGCCCCTCTCCTGCACACACTAAGAATTCCGATCATCACAGACTCAGAAACAGTCCCCATGTTGGGTGCTGGGGTCCAAGGTGAAGCAGATCCCGCATCAGGGACCCTAGTCTGGGTGTCAGGAACAGACAGTGATAAGAATGGGGAGCAGAGTTCCGGGCCTCCCTCCCGGTCTCCCTACCTGCCTGAGCCCTCCCAGGGACCCAACCCACCTGACCACTCCCACAGCCTGTCACTGGCCTCCCTCCCTGACCGTGCAGCTCTCTGTCACAACCTCCTATTTTATAACAATCCTGAACTGTTTCCTAATCTATGGTGGGCAGGCACTCCTTTGGAAAAACAGTACCTTCAGGGACCCTGAATACCGAAGCCTGACTTTGCCCCCTCCTGAGCCGTTCCCTTCTGTGTCCAGCCAAGGGGCCTTCCCAAAGCAAGCTGGGAGTCTCCATACTCACCCTGCGGCCCCTCTCTGTAGCTCTTACAAATGAGAGATGCAAATGTAGACTCTTACAAATGAGAGCCTTAAGTGACACCGCCCCCCTGCCCTTGAAGGAGGGTCTGCCTCTGGGAAGCACCTGGAAGTTACTGCAGAGTCGAAGCCCACTCACCTGCCTCCAGGCCCTGGGTCCCGCCACACACTCACCTGGATGACTTCATTGCGGGTTGCGAAGTTGGTGACAATGATGTTGCGGCCATCCGACCAGCGGGTCATGGAGATGCCCAGCCGCTGGGAGGCCAGGATGTGAATGTTGGGGGGCAGGCTCTCCTGCAGCTGCTGCCTAATATGCTCAATGGGGGCGAAGGCGGGGTGGAAGATGCCCAGGCTCAGCTGCTCCAAGTGCTTGACCATGCCCAGGAGAGTGGAGCAGCAGAAATCTGGGGGCGTGGGGAGAGGAGAGAGTCCTCAGACACCCAGGGGGCCTGCTCATGTCTGTCCCAAAGATTTGACCTCCCTCCCGGGTACCTGGGGAGTGGAGAGTCTTCCCCTCTCCGGCTCAGAATTTCTGTGCCCAGCCCTGCCTTAAACGCTCTGTCCACCTTTTTTGATCTTGGGAACAGCCTCCCCAGCTCTGATCCGTCCCCCGAGAAACAGGGGAACCCCACCCCGAGTCCTCGGGGTTCTCACGAGGGTCCAGTGGGCGCATGCTGGATGTGAGGGGCTGAAACCCCGTCTCCAGCCTGGGGCCGGCGTCCCCCGCGCCCCCCGCCCGCGCCGGCCCCCACGCACCCAGCGACTGGTCCGCGATGATGCTGACGGCGTTGAGCGCCCCGGACGAGGAGCCGTAGATGCGGCGGGCGCCCTGGAGGAGGCGCGGGGCGCGCTCGCGGAAGCAGCGCGTGACGCCCACATGGTAGAGCCCCAGGAAGCCGGCGCCCGAGAAGGACAGGTTCCAGCTGCCCTCGTCTTCGTAGCAGCGCATGGCGGCGGGGCCGGCGGGGCTGGGGTGCCGCACCCGGGCACAGGACTAGGGCGCGGGAGACACGGCTCCGAGGAAAAGCTGCAGCTGCAGCCGGGCCCCCGCCCCCTGTGGCCCCGCCCCTCACGACCCCGCCTCCTCATGGCCCCGCCCCGCCCCCCTCGGAGCCCTGCCCCGTCCCTCCCCACCTTCGGGGGCCCGCCCCATGTGGCCCCGCCCCCTCGCGGCCCCCCCCGTGGCCCCGCCGTGGCCCCGCCCCTGTAGCCCCGGCACGGCCCCGCCCCCTCATGGCCCCGCCCCGCCCCCCTCGGAGCCCTGCCCCGTCCCTCCCCACCTTCGGGGGCCCGCCCCATGTGGCCCCGCCCCCTCGCGGCCCCGCCCCATCACGGCCCCGCCCCCCCATGGCCCGGCCCCGCCCCCTCATGGCCCCGCCCCGCACCCCCTCGGAGCCCTGCCCCGTCCCTCCCCACCTTCGGGGCCCCGCCCCTCGGGGCCCCGGCCGCGTCACCCGCCGCACCAGCCAATGAGGTCCCGGGGCCGCGACGCCCCGCCCCCCAGGTGTGCGGCAGGTTGGCCCCAGAGGTGCCCGCTCGCCCCGGGCCGGGAGTGGGCTGGCGGCGCCCCCACACGCCTGCGGGGGGTGGGTCACGGCCCCGATGGCGGAGTGACCGACCCGGGGAGAGGCGCCAGCGCCCCGCGGGCTCTCTGGCAGCGGAAGCAGATGAGGAACCGAGGGCCGTGAAGGAACGTGCTGGGCTGGAGGTGGACTTCGGGGTGCAGCTGGACTTCCTTCTGCAGCTGTGCTGGTTCGGGTACCGGGGACAGCCAGCGTCAGCCGCCGCGAGCTGTGTGGCTTTGCCCATACTCCTCCCTCTCTGGGTTGCAGTTTTTCTTATACTATGAGGGGCTTGGGTGCGAGGACCTACACAGCCTGTTCTGCTCTGATCGCTGCTCCTCTGGCCCCGACTCCCTCCCCATCGACTGGCCGGGGCGGGGGATGGGGTGTCGGCTGGGACAGCGGGCACAGGCAATGAGCTGAGTGCCCTTTGCAGTCACCTGCGCAAAGCTGTGTGGGTCAGGACCACTGTACCTATGTTCATTTGGGGACACTGAGCCCTGGAGAGGCTTAGACACCTGTAGGGCCAGGAAATGCCTCCCAGAAAACTTGCCCATGCCCTGAAAACTGGGGCAGTGGTTCTGGAAGTCAAGCAGGCAACGGGTAAAATTAAGTTTTAATTTTAAACAAATGATCTGACCCGTCCAGGAGGGTGTTGCAGGGGTGAGGGTGAGGAGGAAGCGTTGCCTGTGATGGTTCGTGATAGGTGACTCTCCCCACCGCTACTCCCTCCCCAGAGAACGGATGAATAACCACAATGGGACAGTTCACGGAAAGTCATAGAGCATCAGATGTGATGAGCAAAAGAAGAATGAGGTTTAATGCCTGGCCCATTTATGCAAACATGTAAAAACATCCCCAACACATTGCTATGTATTTTTTAAATAATATATTAACAGCCTGGGAGATGGATTGCTAGGTCACACCTTATATATGTGTGAAAGGATGTGCCCTTGGGAGTGGAAGGCAAGAGAAACAGGTGAGGGGAGGGGCAATGAATAAAATAGTACAATAAAACAGATGTGCATGGGGCGCCTGGGGGGCTCAGTGGCTGAGGTCTGCCTTCGGCTCAGGTCGTGATCCTGGGGTCCTGGAATCGAGCCCCGCATCAGGCTCTGCATCAGGCTCCCCGCAGGGAGCCTGCTTCTCCCTTTGCCTGTGTCTCTCCTCTCTCTCCCTCTCATGAATAAATAAATAAAGTCTTAAAAAAAAAAAAGATGTGGACCTGAGGAGCAGGGGAGGGGGGTCCACAGCTAGGAAACAGCAGCAGAGAGGGACCAGAGGCCCGGGTCAGCCAGACTTGCACGCAGGCTCAGACCTGTGAAGGCTGACAACATTTGTTAGCAAGCATTTGCCTCCTGCCTGACACTGAGCTAAGCACTGTCTCATTTTATCCTCACAGTACCTCTGTGAGATAGACGATACTACCAATCCCATTTTGCAGATGAAGAAACTGAGACATAAACCAGGAAATCAAAAGAACCCAGCCAGAGAGGGCTGAGTTGGCACTCCACCAGCCCCCTTGTCGCCTTAACAGGAGAGAAGGGTGGGAGCAGGAAGTGGAGTGGGAAGGCCTAAGCTTCAGGCTGGGGGAGTCCACAGAGACCAGGGCATGAGGTTTCACTACTCGGGGAGTGGAGGTCTCTCTGCAGGAATCAGAGCAGATCCCATTAGGCTGACCCTGGAACATTTTCTTATGCCAAAAAGCAAGAGAGTGTTTGAAAAGTGATGAGGACATGTCCAAAGGATACAGGAACCGGCTTTGGTAATGCAGATTAAGGGACATCCTACTAAATAACCTGCCTGTGCTCTTTTAAAAAATGTTATGATTGTGACAGATAAAGAAATGCAGACCAATGAAAGCTAAAGAGATGGGACAACTGGGTGCAATGTGTGCTCCTGGATTTGACCCTGGCCTGGGACGAGAAAGAGCAATGAGGATGGAGACAATTGACAACATTTAATGTGAACCATGGGTTAAATCATAGTGCTGTTTTGATGTCACATTTACCAATTTTAAACATTATACTGTGGATACACAAGAAAAAGTCCCGTTCTTAGGGAACACACTGAGATAGTCAGGGGTACAGAGGCATGGTGTCTACAACTATTTTCCAGTGGTTCAGAAAAATACATCTAACTATGTATCTGCTGCTACTTTTCCCTCTGCATCTATATACAGAGGAAGCGAATGTGACAAGTGTTAGTGATCCAAGACTGAGTAAAGGGGACATGAGACTCTTTTCTTTGCACAAGGCGTGCCATCTCCTTGAAAATGTGAGATTGGCAGCCCGGGTGGCTCAGCGGTTTAGTGCTGCCTTCAGCCCAGGGCGTGATCCTGGAGACCTAGGATTGAGTCCCACATCAGGCTCCCTGCACGGAGCCTGCTTCTGCCTCTCTCTCTCTCTCTCTCTCTCTCTCTCTCTCTCTGTCTCTCATGAATAAATAAATAAAATCTTAAAAAAAAAAAGAAAACGTGAGATTGTATCAAAATAGAAAGGAAAAAAAGGCAGCAAGTAGCTATTTCCTTCTGGTCTGGCTTGTGGGAATCTAGAGGGTGTCCGTCGCCACCATAAGTGGTGAGTTCTGCCCAGCGCCAGTGTTTTAGAGGAGCCTTGAGATTTGACACATTTCAGGGGTCGACAGAGGATGCAGTGGTGCCTCCATGAAAAGCAGGTCAGTGGATCTGACCTATGGCCAAGTCTCCTCTTCCATGGATTCTGCAGAGAGAGGTGGCTGCAGAGGCAGCAAATGTTCCCCAAGGGAAGAAGAGTGTAAGAGTGAGGGTGAGGAGACCCGTCGGTCACTCCTTAGTTGAGCAAGAAGGAAAATAAGAAGGACAAGGAGGCCAGAGCTGCTGTAACTGCTGGATGGGGACGGGGACACCAATAAAAAGAAAAAAGGGAGGAAGAGATTTCAGAGCCATGAAGGCCACTTTAAGGAACAGGGCATAGATCCCAAAAAGGGTAGAAAGTTCCCAAACATTGTACTGCTACCAGACACTTGGGCAATGCTCCCATGTTGTCCTGTTTTAAGAAATGGGGTGATGAGGCCGGCCTCTTGTGCAGCTCCCCTTGGCCACTGGGGGCTTCCCCACGCCCCGCAGGCCTCCAGACCCCCTCCTCGCTGGGGAGCAGAGAGCCGCAACCACATCTGGCCTGCACATCTGCCCAGGCTGCACGGTGCAGAGGCGCCAGGAGGGCCTGGGAAGCTGTCATGCCCTGTGCTAGGTGCTTGGTCTAGCACGAGCTGTGGGATCCACCATGGGCCAGGGGCTGCTCAGGGGTCACCAATCATGGCCTTGTGGATGCGCACCGCCAGCATGATGCCATGTCTGTTAACAATGACATGGCGGTCACTGACAACAATGGTGCCCTCAGGTTCATGCAGTTGTGTAAATGTTGGGACATGAGAGCTTCCACCTGTGACAACTGGAAATCCCGCATTAGCACCTGTAGCATCACATCCATTGTGCTGGAAGCTGCACGAATCGTGTCTGACTGTCTGGAGAAAGATGAGAACATAACACCAGGGATTGTTTCCCATGCCCCAAGGACACCTGTTGTCGAATTGTTCTCGAAGATGCTGCTTCTCCGAAGTGTATGATGAAGCAAAGGAGGTTGTTGGGCCAGACTTTCTGTGTCCCTATGACTCTGATGAGCACAGCAACGACAGCGTCATCTCAGAAGGTTTCCTGAAAGCGAGAGGGGCCCTATAGAGAAGACGTAACCCAGACTGGCAGCCCCAAAAAGAATTCAAGCATCAGGGCAGGTGGGGGAGACTCCAAAACCCAAATGGAAGTGGTCAGAAGACTGTAACATGAGGAAAAATGCTGCTCCACGGAACTTACACCAGGCTGATGCTCTCTGTCCGTGGAGAAACAAACATTCATGAGGTGGGTGATCATTTCTTGGGCAAAGCCTGGCCGTTTTAATGTTGGTTGCCCTCCTAAAGCCACAGCACCACAAGTAGCAAGGATCTATCTCCCAGGAAGGGACATGAAGGATGATGAGCACGACAGAAGGAATGCCTAGCGCAGCAGAAACAGACCCAGGGTTTTAATTGCCCGGAATGACCAATAATATGACACTGAACTGATATATGTACAGTCGGGCATATGAGGTTCACACCATCAACTGCAGAAGAGCAAGTGATCAAAAAGGCAGCTTGGCATCTGCTCATGGGACAAAGACCCCGGGGGGTTTCAGGTGAGTCAAGGTCATTCTGAATTCAGGGTGACCTGGCTGAGAGTCTCAAGACAAAACAACAGAGCCAAGCAAGCAAGCAGCAGTAGTCTTCAGCTGCACTCCTTGGGGGTGGGGGGGGGACGGTCCCGCCATAACCTCTGGCACACGGGTGTGACATTCCAAGTGTCGCAGCTGGGTCTAGTGAGACATGGAGAATCTGGAGTGGCAAGATGGAGTTTGGAGAACAGATCACTTTACACTCAGAAAGCA